TTTTTTTTTTTTTTTTTTTTTTTTTTTTTTTTTTATTCAACTAGAAGCCTCCCGGGGAGGCTAGGAATAGAAGGTTGTAAAAAACAAAAAAAATGATCCCTCTCTGTCTTTGCCTCTGAATTTCATACTATGTTTTTGGTTGAATAAATTGTTGTCATTGATTGCTATTTATCAGCATCTAAATCCGCGGAGAACTTCAGCATTTGCAGTTAAGTTGGGTAATTTAAAGTTTGTGATTCTCTCTGTTGATTTTTAACTCCTAAATTCTTGTTCTCTCAATTCCCCCTCCTTAGCAGGCTATATTTTCTCTACCACATTCCAAATAGCACTAAGATAAAAGAAAGATAACTTTTGTTCCCCCATTCACAGTTTTGATGGAAAAAAATATGCTGTCACCACAATCCCTGAAATATGCTTTCAATGGCCACTCAAACTAACAAAGAATATTAAGTTAATCCACGCGTCTCTGTCTTTAATTACAAGCTTTGCAGCCATTGCCTTGCAAAATTTGAGAGTAAATGATAACATAGTCCATATAATTTTTATTTTTATTTTATAATAATAGTATTGATACCAAATATTTACAATTTTATTGATGGTTAATTTTTATTGAGAAACTAACCATTTTTAATAGAATCTCATTCTTAATCACTTTTTTTTTAATTTATTACAAAATCCAAATTCAATATTTTACTTAAAAAATGGAATTCAATATTGCTTGAACCAATATTTTCAAAATTAATTTCTATATTTATAAAGTATATATCGTCATAGTTTTTATTGAATATTTAGTCCCTCAAGAAGGACTATTTCTAAATTCTAATACGAAGTTATTAAATTTAATTAACTATTCAAGGACTAAGATGCAAGTGAATGATTATTTCACGGGTAAGTTACCAATTTACTCTTAAAGATTTTATATTCACACTGCAATTTCTCGCTGCTCCTTGGTACTGCCAGTTTGATGCGTAAACTTAGTTGGCTTTCTGGAATAGAAAAAGCTAGCAATCCGCAACCACACTCCAGTTTGTGAGAGTTACATGTATACAGATGAACTTTGAACATTCATAGCACGTTATACTAATTGATGATGAGAGAAAGTCTATACTATAAACAAACATTTGGTAATCATATTTTATCAACAAATAAATCATCAGTTTGGTCCTTGAAATATATTAATTAACTTCTCTACCATATAATCCTTAAAATAATAAAATTATATTAATAACTTCTAAAGTATTAGAAATCTTGTTCCTTAATTTTTAAAGTATTTAAAAATCCTTTATATAAGCTCTTTGATATCCAGAAAATATATCCATATATATAGGAACTAAATCAATAGATTTTCAGTAATTTAGCAATTATTTACATTATTCTCTCTAATTTATAGTGCTTATAGTAATGAGTATAAACTAGAGAGAATAATACTTGGAGGACCAAATTGATGATTTACTCTATTTTAAACACAAGAGGCATGCAATAATAAGATCACGAGAACAAAACTTCTTGATGGATAGTAACATATTCTCTCTGTACATGCACGTAAAGAAGAAACCTAAGCCATAGAAAGAGCCTAATAACTCTTGAAGCTGCAGAAGACCTTCCTCTTTGTCTTCGAGCTAGCGCATACATAGGTGTATTTATATATTACATCAAGAGTAGTACTAGACACACCATATGCTAAAAGTTTCATCATCAAGACCTAGCAGACATCTAAAGTTTATAATAAAAGGGGGAAAAAACACTGCTAAATATTTCTGGTTAGATAACTAGAATATTAATTAATCACTGCCCAACCAAACCTTTCATCTGCAGTTCCGTTCTCTTTTCTGCTATGAATCTTGAAGCGGCTTCGTTGCAGTTGATATCTTCTACTTGCATGTGAACCACCTTGGTAGCACCATAAGTTGGATAGAATTTGTATTGGCAGAGATTTTGAGTCGCTGGAGGGTTGCCATTGCCAAAACTCTTTGCCCTACCAAAGAACTTTTCATACCCAAACCCAATCTTAGAAAAATCTGCTTGTGGTGCCATTTCTCAAGGAAATGAAGGAATTAGGAAAGTAGTAACCAACTATAAGGAAAAAGGGTCTCTATTTTTTGAGTATAAAACTTCAGGACAAGGGTTTATATACAATGCATCTCACCTCCAAGAGGAATCGAATCTGTTGCAGTAGTAAATTATTAGAGCATCAAAGATGGTGGTAGAATAGTAGACGTGGTTACTCCTGTGCATGAAATTATTAGTAATGGAGTTTTTTTTTGTTTTTTTTTTGAGATTATTCTTTTAGCTAGTGATAGTGTTAACCTCTTGAAATATGGTCAGATACCGAATATTATTTCTGAGATTGAAAAAAAAAAAATAATTATAATTATAGAATGTGAACATTACTGTTTCGATGATAAAATTGCATAATTCCAAGTTAAGAATTGTCATGTCATGTGCGGAACGTGGATCTTTTTTATGTTGCTTTATGTCAAGGTCATATTGTTGCATTTTGTGAAGTTAAAATACAATATCTTCTGAAATAAAGTTAGTTAAGATTTGTTAATCATTAATTAGGACTTTGGCTTGATGGAATTTTTTTTTTCTCTTTTATAAAATTCTTTCAACCGATAAGAGAGAGGTTAATTTTTTTTTTTTTACCACATACGAATCTAAAAAATTACGTGTTTATGTTTTGAAAAATTGAATCCAATTCATTTAAATTGATTAAAGTTGTTTTTTTATTCATAAAAATTATAATGATAATAATAAAATTTGATTTTACATTCTTGTATGTGCTACTCAATTCTTAACAACTAAATTAATCATAATGATTCAAGTAAACACAAAGTTACTATTTGTCATGATTATTTATCATGTATATCTTTTGATTATACTTTTTTATGGAGTTAAAATATAGTATTTTTAAAACTAAGTCATGTATAACATTATACTTAGGTTGAACTGTGAGTTGTGAGGGTCTCTGACTAAAGATTCAATTAATCCTAAGAGGAAGCAGTATATAATGTTTATATTAAGAATTAAGGCTCATAAACTCATTTATCTAGATTTTAGAGAGAAGTTTTAAAGAGAGGTGCTCTAGGTTCTTGAAGTTGGATTCTAGTTCAACATCATGCGAAGTTCTTTGGGGGACTTAGGAATTCTTCTTCTCTTCCTCTTCAATATTTCTTCATCTTGGTGGCTAGGATTTGAGGCAAAGGAAGCTAGATAAATTGATTGGTTAATTTGATGAATTGTGTTGTTGTGTTAATCAAATGTGGGTACATATGGTTGAAATTAGATTGAATGGTGAAGGGTTTTGGGTGTTTTTCAATGTCAAGGTGAATTTTTGGTGATTGACCTTATATGATGTTACATGTTGAAATTGCACTTGGTTTTGAATTGTATATGGTTAATGTGTGGATTTGGATGCATTGCACGTTAGGTTGGATTGTTTTTCAAGTGGATTGAGGCAATTTTTAAAGTTTGCAATTGTAGATTTTTGATGTTGCGCCAGGTATGCCTTTATGGAACTGGACGCAATTCCAACCAAAGGGCTCTGTCTTGGTCATGTTAGGCGTAGAATCGATGGCATCAGACATGAAGAGAGAAACTCGTCTCAGATTGGAATGATGTTAGGTGTGGTTTGACTGGCACCGGGCATGATAACATAGGAAGGTCTTTGACTTAATGACATTAGACCTCAATTGGGTGGTGCCAAGTGTGATCAAGGCAAAGACTCCTTGCTTGGAGGATGTCGGATGCCACTAAGGTGACATCGAATGTGAGTCAAGCAGAGATCCTATGGCATTGGGCTTGAGCAAGACAGAGTGCTCTCTACCTCAAATAAGGGATGTATATGTGATATATTGATGTTTTGGTGAAGTTGTATGATGAACATGAGTATATTATTTTATTTTATTACGTATGAGGATTATAGTTCTATGTATATTGATCTGGGATGATTGTTGATATTTTCGTTAAAACTATTTTTGTTAACACTTTAAATCACTTTTGTTCTATCAACGGTCTCAAACACGGTAAGTATATCGACCTTTCAAGTAGTAAAATCGGCCGTTCAAGTAGTAAAATTATCGTATCCACATGGATTAGTAGGTAAAATAAGCATTTATTGACTATTCGTGACTAAAGAATAATTCCAATTTGTAGTTTGTCATGTGAAGATTAATTGAAGAGTATAACTACTGGAATGTTAACTATAAAAATATTTGATTGCGAGTGGAAAAGGGTAGAAATGGTATTATGATTTTTGTGAGATTGTGGGGTCAGATTTCACCAAACGTTACACTATTGAATCCTTAATCTCTTGTTACAAACATTGCTTAGTAAACCCATAAGTTTACTCAAACCTAATCCCTTAGAGCAAGAGCCTAGGTGCGGATATTGAATATCAATCCCTTGAGTACCCAATATCTACACCCGCATTACGGGCTAGGGTTTAAGACTACTAATGGGCTAAGCTCCATTCCTAGATACATTTCCCACTAGGCATTTGTTTCAGAGCTAGTTTCAAAGGTTATTTTCCAATACCCAATGGAACCTATATCATGCAATGAGATTCAATCCAAAGCAAGCATTAAGAATAGAAACATACACAACAATGAATGAACAATATATATATATATATATCATTGAAAACGTAAGGATTACAATAGAATTCGTTGGTTGCATCTAACCCCACAAAAAAATTGGTAGAACCACTCAAAACAATGAGGGTAAACACAA